GGTAAGGGTTCCTTTACGGGAAAAATTTTGGTCACGGGGAGACAGCTTTCAATTTTTGGGGTAAATGTAGGGGAAAAAAGGGGACAAACCAAGGGGAGCATTACAGTGTAATTTTTCCCTTAAAAAAGAAAAAGAACGAAACAATGGGGCCAAATTTCATTTTTGGGTAATTTATTTAGAAGAATTTTTTAAAATTTTAGACTTTCAAAATTTCCCCCCACGGGTAAAATGAAAAAGTTAGACTTAAAAAAGGTTTTTTAAAATTGTGTTTTTAACCCAATATTTTCCCTTTTCCCTTTTAAATTTTTGCCAAAACTTCCCCAAAAAAATTGTCCCAGTTATAAAAATTCATTTAAAAAAAAAACCAAAAATTGGGTATTGTGATCAATCATCAAAATTTAAAACACAATTTTTTAAGTACAGAAAATATGATAAAAATTTTAACCCCAGGAAAAAAAATTTAAAATGAAAAACAATTTTTTAACAATGGTTTTCCCTTTTTTTGATTGGGGTTTAAAATTTTTGGGTTTTTAACCCATACTGATCGGAAAAAACAAATAGGGGTTTTCTAGCTTCCTTTGGAAAAAACCCCACGAATCCCCTTCCCTTTGCACAAATAGGAAAAATTTGGGGAACCCAAAGGTTGACCACAGATCTACGAAGCTATTAAAGCTTCCTTCATAAAAAATTTAAATGCCTAGTGGGAATTCGAACCAACAAGGGTGATACCCGTTTTTTAAATGTAAAAAATTTTTAACGCAAGGGCCCCCAAAAATAAGAAGTAAAAACCTAAAAAGTTCAGAAAAAAATCAAATAAAAGCCCCGAAAATCGCCCAAAACATCTTTTAAAATGGGACAACCTGTAATCTAAATTTTTTTTCCCTTGTTAACTGGGACAACAATTAAATTTTAAGCCCCAATTTGATATACAGAAATGGAAATTTGAAATCCGCTTTCCCTTAAGCATTTTGATTTTAAAAATAAATGATTATTAATAAAGCCCGGCTGTTGGGTGCGGGGCTTAAAAAATTTAAAAGAAATTTGCCCCCCCCATGATATTTTTCAATCCAGCCCGGGAAATAAGGAGGAAAAAACCCCATCTAGCAACGGAGTGTAGGGGCTCTACTCGGGACCCCGCTCGGGAAAAAAAATTTTGGGAAGTAAACCCCATCGGTTAGACTAAATAAGTAAAAAACCCAAGTCAAGCCCGAGGGAAAATTATTATAATATTTATAAAACCCAAAAAATTTAAATTCTTTGGGTAAAAAAAAAAATTCTTTTTCTATAAAAAATTAAATTCTGAAAACGAGGGAAAAAAACGAAACACTTTTGAAAATAAAATGTATTAAAAAGGTAATTTTGCAATACCCTAATTGCCAGTGTTTACGAAAACGGGGCATAAAACGACCCTGGGGTCGGGGGAAAAATCCTTTTTTTTTTGAAAAGTAAAAAAATTTCAGAAAGCTAAATAAGGCAATAAAATACAAAACTCTATAAACCTTTAAGCATAAAATTTTTTTTCAAAAACCTTTTAAAGAAAAATTTTAAGGGTCCCAAAGGGAATTTTAAAAAAATTTTATCCGACATATAGGAACAAATTTTCTCAAAGAAACCGATTTGTTTCAAAACCACGGGGCTTTTTAAAATTTTTAATTTTAAACATTTTAAAGATATATGCTAAAATTTTCATTTTTAAAAATTTTTACAATGTTTACACACATACCCTTTTTTTGTAAATATAAAAAAAAACGTGTTATTTTTCCACAAAAAAAAGCATTTATTTTTAAAAATTCTACATTTAAATTGGTTAAATAGGGAAAATATAGTGCCCTTTAAAAAAAAACGGGAAATTTTCAAAAAAAAATAAAATTTTTACATGCCTGTAAAAGGGAACGCAACTTATTCTTTTTTTTAAATTAAAATTGGACATATTTGGAAAAAATTAAACATAGATTTCAAAAAAATTTTCTGTGATAAAACTATTTACGCAAAGAGGAAAAAAGTAAATTTAAAGTGCCCAATTAAATTTTTGTCTTGTCTTAACTGAATAGATTTTATTTTTAAAAGATTGACTTTTATTTTTGGGTGATAAACCAAAGAGTTGTTTTGACAAAATTAAATTTAAAAATAAAAATTCCCCAAAAGTAAAAAAAAATACTCCCCAAAATCTTTGAAAAAGGGAAAAAATTTTAAAGGTAAATCCCAAAAATTTTGGCAAAAAAAGTTTTGCACTTTATTTTTAATTATTTTCATAATTTCTTTTAAATTTGAAAGAAAGAATGAAAAAATTTTAAAACTTTTTTTGATTTCCCCAAGTCCCCAAAAAAGTAAAAAGGGCCCTTGGAAAGTTCAAAAAAGTACTTCAAAGAAAGCAAAAACATGACCCCTAAATTTTTAAAAATTTAAAAAAAGGGAAAAATTTCTGTCAAAATAAGAAATTTATTCCCCCTCTAAAAATATCTTAGTGTTTAAAGAAATAGATGCTGCAAATTTAAACCCAAAAAGTGTTACATCGAGGCTTGAGTGAGTAGGATACCCCTAAAAACTGTAAACACTATAGACGTCTGTGAAGTTTTAAGTGGTCTTATCTAGTCATAACATAAATCTTTAATTTCAGTAGCATAACACAAGTTAGAAGTTTATTTTTTATTTTTGTCATCCTGTTCATTTGGCACAAATGTTGACTAGACCATAGCCTCTGTAACAGCATGCTCAATCGTAAATTTCCTGTTACTATGGCAACGGGGGGACGTCTCAAAATTGTCAAAAATCACTATTTTGTATTGTTTTTTTCCATCTGATTTCAAAGTGCTGCAATTTCTCAATGAATTGAGATAGAGTAGAGGCTTTTCAGCGTCGGTAACTAGTTACCATAAAATCGACCTGAGGCCATTTTTAGCCTGTCACATGTCCAAAATGTTCTTGGCGATTAGGGGGACTGTCGCCCCCTTCAAACCCCACAAACAGAAGGGGATAAATCCCCTTCTGGCAACCCCTTGATGTACCATTTTGATGGGGGTGGGGGCGGCGCCAAAAAAGTGGTCACTTTTAAAAAAAAAAAATTCAAAGGAAAAAACAGCGTTTGGGGCCTTAATAGGGAATTTTCACACTGTTTGAGGCCTCAAATAATGGGGGGGGGGCAAAAAGCCGTCAAAACACGTCTATATGAGGGAAAAGGTTAATAAGTAAAGTCACTTGCCCTTCATCGCTATCTTTTAATCCTGCCATAGATATTGATGTGATGAAGCTATGATCCATCTAGCTAACAGAGTGTAGGGTATTAAACTCCGAAGCCCGCTCGTGCTAGAAATAATGCACGTCAAAAGCACGGTGATCCATCGCTAACACTGGAATGACGTGATGTGGCCATGTCACGGTCGATGGAAATAATAATATATACAATACATTGTATAATTATATATTAATTGAGAAGTACTTCCTTTCCTTTGAAAATTACATACTGCACAACTTGTAAAACGAAACATTCTTAAAAATCAATGTATACAAAGTGGGAACATTTGCAATATCACTTATTGCAGATGTTTCACAATATCGTGCACGTACGATCATGTGGCCCTTGGGATAAATTCGCCTTGTTTGAAAAGTAGAAAATTCAAAAAAGCTAAAAAGGGCAATAAAATCTTAACTCTGTCTAACTTAATCATAAAAATTCAGATTTTTAATATGTAGAACAAGAGTTGATTTGACACGTTTAAAATGTAAATCTGCCAAAAGTAAAGTATAAAAATATTGCGAACTCGTTTCATACATTAAATATTTCAGGTAAATTCCCATGAAATTATGCATAAATTTCCTTTGGCCACAGGAGTTATTTATCGTTCATGTTGAAAAGAAGTTTGCAAAATGTAAACTTATTTTGACTCAAAATCCATGTCAGAATTATTGACCTCGGAAAGTTTCAAATTAATATCTTCAGAAGTCTGCACCGTGAAGTTGTTCAAGTTCAAAAAATTCAACCACTATTATGTTCTCAAATATATGTGTGTGAAGTATAAAAGCAAATATCATTAGTGGTTAATGAAATATGTTGCATGCAAAACTTTAACCAAAGTGTTACACCGAGGCTTGAGTGAGAAGGCTAGCCCTACTTTTCCTCGAATAGTTGAGGTAAAACAATGGGGGGAATTTGTCCCGGTAACAATTCTTTTTTCAGAAAGGGTAATAATCAGTAAAAATCACACTTATGTCATGGATCTTGGTCAGTGACCTTCAATTGTAACACTGTAGACGTCTGTAAGTTTAAGTGGTCTAATCTAGTAATTCATTTACAACATGAAGTTGTACTGAAAACATTAATCTTTTAATTTCCGTAGCATAACAAAAGTAAGAAGTTTATTTCTTTTATTTTTTTTCACATTCATATACTAAGTACATACAATAACAAGAGCTGTCCGTAAGACAGCGCGCTCGACTTTTTTATTGCTTGCCAATAAAAAAAGTTTTTGCAGTAAAAGGCAATACAAGAATCTCTGTATTTTTAAAGTGAACAATGGCCATGAGCATTAAGATATTTAGTGAAGAATTATTTTACTGAATTGTGTGATACCCTTGAACACTGCAGCAAAGTTTGAAATGTTTAAGTCAAAAGAGGGCTGGTAAGAAAGAAAAAAAAACTGAGTTGAGCCTTAAATAAATTTAATAGTATTAAACCCACTTTGAGAGAATAAGGTATTTTTACGTCACTCAGAACACCTTGGTAAATGACATAATAACATAATTTTTCAAGAAATCTATGCCAAGGAAGCAGTATATTTTTGTACAATCAGCATAATATATAGATTTGACTTTGTATGTGAAAGTATTATAGTTACCTTATAATACAAGTAATAGATAAATTTTATCAAGCTTTTTTAGATGTTGTCAGTTGGTCACAAGTGGATCTCTTTCACACAGGCTGTGGTGACTGGTTACTTTTCGTGGTCCACTATGTAGATAATGCGTTGTAAACTGATATTTGAATTACATGAAGGAAGTTTCAATTCATTATTTAATGCCGGGGCGAGTAGGATAGCTCCCCTTTTCATAGAAAAGTCGAGCTAAAAAGTGGACTGGTACTAAAAACTTAACCAAGATTCTAAGTCGATAAAAGGCCTTAATTTTTAAAACAAATCCTTGACAGAGTTACCTTCTCTTGCGTACAGATGGGGGTAATGATGTGAAATAGCATTAAAAGTTTCAAAGCAATATCTCAAAGGGTTAAGGCAATAAGTGGATTTTACCCATATTCAATGTATTTTCTAAGTCAAAAAGGGGCATAATTCTGTCAAAAACCTTGACAGAGTTATGTCCTCTTGTCTGTTGATGAAGTCGTGATGGTAAACAAGTATGGTCAGTTTCAAAGCAATACCTCCAATGGTTTTGAAATAAAGTGAGGTGGTACAAAAAACTTAACCAAGCTCAATACACTTTCTAAGTCAAAAAAGGGCCATAATTCTGTCAAAAACCTTGACAGAGTTATGTACTCTTGTCTGTAGATGGAGGTTATGATGGTGAACAAGTATGGTAAGTTTCAAAGCCATACTTGTAATACTTCTGAAATAAAGTGGGGTGGTACGAAAAACTTAACCAAGGTGTGACGCCAACGCCGACGCCGACGCCGGGGCGAGTAGGATAGCTCCCCTTTTCATAGAAAAGTCGAGCTAAAAAGGGTAAAATGTATTTTAACATACTAAAAAACTATGTTATGGTTGTGAGGGTTTGTTTCCAGTAAAAATCGTAAATAATACATTTTTCTATAAATAAGAATTTCCACTTTTCTTTCATGAATATGCATGAATGAACTTCTTGACATTGTCTTGTTCTAATGTATTTCCTAACTAATAGTATCATACATACTTTTTTTAAACAATTTGAATATGTTCATTTCTTAAAATTAATCTTTATCATTCACTGATGAAAATTGACTATTGGTTTAGAAACTATAAATGTTGTGTTAATATAAATTTAATTTGCACTCATCTTAAATTCAGTCATATTACAAATGATTCCTTTGTATCTTTAACACATTACATGATGAATTGGTATATTTTATTTATCTTGCTTTGCATTTAAAACTGTCAATCAATATAAATCCCGTTGATTTCAATACAAAATTATACAAAAAAAAAGATGTTAAGCTATTAAGCTATCAGTTAAACAAAGCCGGTCAGACTGCTAAGATGCATGCTTTGCTCAATCCTGGTGGCATAGACTTATCACTTTCAGATGAAGCTGGTATAAAGTTAATTCAAAAACTAGCATTTTGTCATTTTGTTTAATTCACTATTAATCAATTTACTTTTATATCAGTACAATATTTATAACAAAATATTTCCTGCATTCCTTTCTACATTAAATGAAAATCTTTGCTTTTTTCAGAGACAGGCTTTCAAAATAATTATAATAAAAATGATAAAAAATAAATATATGTACATTAATATCATAGTTCAAATTATATTGAAAAATGCATAACATCTTGTAGAAGTCATGAATAATAAACTTTAACAAAGGAAGCAATACACTTCCATTTTACATTTTATCACCAAATTTTAAGTTGTGTAGAAAAGTGTCTCATTAGATAAACCCTACGCATTCTTTTTCTGTATCTTCCACTACTGAATATACATTGTAATAACAATCACTTTTACAGCATTTAGATGTACCCACATAAATACCCTTATAGAAAAAGCTATCACACTTTTCTCCCTCCTTTTTCTTTCTGGAGACGTGTGCATATTTTTTTCGCACTGGACTGTCTCAATTTCAATCACTTCCACTTTTCTTCTCAACATCAACACTTCTGAAGTTTCAGCTTGAATCATCAACCATTAATTAATATTTGGCTAAAATCAGAGGTCTAAAGCATCAGTTATTAATGTCAGTGTTATTAAACTTGAAGCAATTTTAAAATAAACTTTCATCTCTTAATATATTAAATTTGTAAAACTTGCATCCTCCATCAAACTAAACACATTTCAATGTCAAGAGAAATTTTCAAACATGTATCTTTTTTTTTATTAAGGTTCATAATATTTTTAATCTAAAGCAAATAACTTAAATATGACTTCAAGTAAAAGTTGAATGTAATTACTCTACTGTGTGTTAAACTTAACATAGATTATAGATCGAGTTAAGAACTCTTTCTTTTTGAACACTTGATTATTTCCAAGTTGACTTATTTTAAGTCTAATCCAATTTCCAGGTTGACGATCTTTGAAACTACCTTACACCAACAGCTTTGATCAAACCAGATTTTTAAGGAAAATATACTGATTCATCATCTGTCAATCAGAGAAAATTCTTTGAGTTTATTGTTGAAGAATCGTTCCATGGTGTTGGCACATTTATAATACTCTGTATCAGGTTTGTTGTAAGAACGACAATTTGTGAAGATTCTCATCATGTCGGCCATGAATAATTTCTTGTGAACGTAATATCTGTTCTTTAAACGATCTCCCATTGTTCGAAGATCTATAAATAGAATTTGCAATTGATTTAAAGTCAATTTATAATCAATACATAACACAAAACCTACAAAAAAAATATTTTTTTCTTAAAGCTCTACATTTTAGATTTGTAATGCAAAAGTTATCCTTTAAAAGAGGGTTTAAAAATATGTTCTGAAAATATTACTGATCGATCATTTAATTTTGGTTATGTTTTAAATCACACTGACAATGTAAATGTCATATGGCAACATTGGTAAAGGAAAACATCAGGTGCCCCTCCGTGCAATTTTTCAGGCATCTCAGTAAATTTACAGGCACCTGAGTAAAAACACTTCATAAGTCAAGTGGGAATTCATAATAAAACCTTAGGAACACGATATCCTGGAAACCCTTCAAAGTTACAAAATATTTAAATATTCTGAATTTTTAGCAAGAAAAGTTAACTTCATAAATGTAGCAAGGAAAAGAGCACAAGAAAAGATAACAAAGAAAATACATATGTCACTTACCCATAGGAAACTTGATGTAATCATAATAATCAGGGGCTTCAGCTTTCTCCACTGGTTTCAGGAAAGGCCAAGCACAAGCATGAGTCTGTAAAACACAGGGAAGTTGTTTTTACTATTACAATGTACAATGCTAGTCTAATTTGGCCAACAGTCATTTGAATCAAATGTTATCTGTGTGAATTTTATTGAGAACTTCTCTTCAAACTTGACAAACACTTTTAATGCAACTACTTATATATAACAATTGAAGGGAAAGAACTCTGATAATAAGTATGGGTAATTCAATATCTCGGGAGTTATCAGAAAATCAAAATGCATACCTACAAACATGCAAAAAGTGATACAGTTCCACGTCCTATTATAACAATAAAATATGCATTCAAATAGTATTATTACTTTTAAATCATATTTTTATAATATCAACAAAAGATGCGTACAAATAGTTATATTACTTTAAAATGATATGTTTACCTTGCAGTGCTGTAGAATTGTTTTAAAGATGTTGTAGAGCTGATCAGAGTCCATTACAGGTTCCTTCCTAGAAAAAATACACAACATGTCATTATAATATCAACATCTGCCATGTCAGAGTGCACAATGTAACAGACAGGTTAAGTATATGATATACAACCCCATACACATGGAAAGAAGTTTTATTGCATGCTTTTCGGTGGTTTATAGAAATATATCAGTGATATAAAAACTGGTAATTTCACTGTTTGAAACAGTGAAATTACCACTTTGATAATTTCACTTTTTTGAATTTAAGCCCCTTACGTTGTTTCAGTGAAATACCAGCGTGCACAGAACGGGGTACCAACTTAATGACGTGACGTGGTAAATGACGTCACGTTGTATTATTATTTGGCGCGCTTTTCATTCAGTATTAGGTTTAATGTCTTTTTAAAACGTTTCTTTGCATATAATAAAAAGAAAATTTGTTTAGTTTAGTGTAAGATCGAAATATATTTCACCTTGTGAACACCAAAAGTTCATATTTCACTCGTGGCTGCGCCACTCATGAAATATACTTTTTGGTGCTCACTCGGTGAAATATATTTCGATCTTACACTGAACTAAACAAATATCCACTATATAAATGTAAAAACCCTGAATTTTGCATTAAGTTTTTCAATTCATTGATTTTATAAAGAGGAAAGAAAGCTTTTCAGAGTATAAAAAACCTCAGATTCACGAAAATACCTTAAAACTTTTACCCATGCATGCACCAGCAATAACTTTATAATTTCTCAAAATCTGTGTGACTTATATCCACAATAAACCTTTTTTTCTTTTTGAAGAAAAAAAGTGGTTTAAGTGTCAAATACAGAAAGATGCACATAACAAATAATACACACGGTTTATCAGGTGCAGGTCTCCAGCCACAGTCTTGAAGACCTGGTATACTCTCAATAGGAATATGTCGTACTCCGTCTTTAAAACACGTCAAACCTGGATACACCTTTGTAAACTTTTCTTGCTTCTGTTCTATTATTTTCTTTACAATCTAAAACGGAAAAACTAAGTTACTTAAGATTTTATCACTAACATAGATTAGATGGTGCAAGATTAGGTGAATCAGATCATTTTTTTAATTCTAGCAAGTTGAAGTATCACTTGCTCCTTTGTTTCTCACAAAAGTTAACAGTTAACATTCTTTTTTTCAACAAATTTTTCTTCACAGAATAAGCAATTTTTGTGTGTTTTTTGTTGTTGTTTTTCTAAGCAAAAATGTGCGAAAAAAACTCTCAACTGTGATCTATATACATGTATCAAAACAAAAACAAGATTGCATTTGAGAAAAATGCTATGCCACCGCATGGTTCAAATTTCATAGCTGTACACCAAAGGACAAGAAAGTAGGTCACATCATCAAAATCTAGGTCACCTGATATCAAAGTTCAATTTTACAACTAAAACTGTGCACATGGTCAAAATGTCATTGCTGACATCAAAGGACAAGAAAGTAGGTCACTGTCCCCTTGGGCAAGGCATAATTTTGACCCAAGGGTTTAATTCAACAATTTTGATACAGGTCCACCAAACAACATTTCAAGTCAAATATCTAAGCTATAGCTTTCTCCCATTCAGAAAACATTTGTTTTATTTTCTGTTTTTACTATGTGTACATAATGAGAATCACTGCCTCCGGGCAGGGCCAATTTTGACACCAGGGGAAAATTTTGAACAATTTTGGTAGAGGACCTATAAATGATATTATATATCAAACATCAAAGCTCTATGCCTTGTACCTTCAGACAAAAATATTTTTTATTTTTTCACTATATGTACATAATGCAATCAATTACCCCCGGGGCGGAACCAATTTTGACCCCAGGGCTATAATTTGAACAATCTTGCCAGAGGTTCACTACACAATGTTTCATGCAAAATATCTTAACTCTAGCCTTGTAAATTTAGAGAAGATGATTTTTTAAGTTTGTACTATATACATATAAGGAAAACCTATGGCCACCAGGGGGCGGGGCTGATTTTGACACAAGAGGCAAAATTTGAACAACTTTGGTAGAGGACCTATAAATGATATTATATATCAAACATCAAAGCTCTATGCCTTGTACCTTCAGACAAAAATATTTTTTATTTTTTCACTATATGTACATAATGAAAATCAATGACCCCCGGGGCGGAACCAATTTTGACCCCAGGGCTATAATTTGAACAATCTTGCCAGAGGTTCACTACACAATGTTTCATGCAAAATATCTTAACTCTAGCCTTGTAAATTTAGAGAAGATGATTTTTTAAGTTTGTACTATATACATATAAGGAAAACCTATGGCCACCAGGGGGCGGGGCTAATTTTGACACAAGAGGCAAAATTTGAATAAATTTTGTAGAGTACCATCAGATGATATAATTTAACAAATATTAAAGCTCTAAGCCTTGTACCTTCAGACAATAAGATTTATTTATTTTTTACTATATGAAATCAATGACCCCAAGGGCGGGGGCAATTTTGACCCCAGGGCTATAATTTGAACAATCTTGCTAGAGGTTTACTACACAATGTTTCATGCAAAATATCTAACCTCTAGCATTTGTCAATTGCTAGAAGAATTTTTTTTGAAGTTTTTACTATAAGTTTTTACTATATACATATAAGGAAAACCAATGACCCCCGGGGCGGGGCCGATTTTGACCCCAGGGCTATAATTTGAATAATCTGGGTAGAGGTCTACCAAACAATGCCTTACGCAAAATATATAAGCTCTAGGCCTTTTGGGTCTTTACAAGAAGGTGTTTTAAGTTTTTACTATATGTACATATAGTGAAAATCAATGACCCCGGGGCGGGGCCGATTTTGACCCAAGGGCTATAATTTGAACAATCTTGGTAAGGGTCTACCAGAAGATGCCTTATGCAAAATATCTAAGCTCTAGGCCTTTTGGGTTTTTACAAGAAAGTATTTTAAGTTTTTACTACATAGTGAAAATCAATGACCCTCGGGGCGGGGCCAATTTTGACCCCAGGGCTATAATTTGAACAATCTTGTTAAAGGTCTACCAGACAATGCCTTATGCAAAATATCTAAGCTCTAGGCCTTTTGGGTCTTTACAAGAAGATTTTTTAAATTTATTCTTATAATTCCTTTTGGTTGCCATGGCAACCAGATTTCTGCATGGAATGAAATTCTTTGAACAACTTTGGAAGCCCTTCACCCAAGGAACAATCCTGCCAAGTTTGGTTGAAATTGGACTAGTGGTTTTTCACAAGAAGATTTTTTAAGTTCACTATATATTTTATATAACACACACACAAACAAACACACACACACACAGGTGAATCGCTATATGCCACCGCATCGCAGATGCTGCGGTGGCATAAATTGGACTAGTGGTTTTTCACAAGAAGATTTTTTAAGTTCACTATATATTCTATATAACACACACACAAACACACACACAAACACACACACACACAGGTGAATCGCTATATGCCACCGCATCGCAGATGCTGCGGTGGCATAAAAAGGAATCTAATTTTGGATCAATCAACTATTTCTTAACATGAATTCACAATGTACTAAAATTACTTGCAATCTCACCTCTTTTTGTTTGCGTATTGTCTTTGAGAACTCGGTATAGCAGATTCTAGGGTTAAGTTCACAACCCATAAGTGTTGCCCCTTCATAATCCTTGATATATCCCAGGTAAGCTGACTTTGGTAGCTTTATGTCCTTGGAGAAACCCTGTCAAAGGAAACATACATAAGTGACTATAGTTTAGTGACTTTATTTTATCAACTTATACATTTTAAACACATGTAAATCAATACTTCTCCTTCATCTATAGAACTTAACCCGAACATCTTTATTACAGGATTTGTCCAGTTTTGAGTGACGAATTCAATATCAGGGGTTTTATTGTTGGTTGTGTTCATTGAAAGACGCCTTATCTTGTTGATCTTGTGTATCATATTATTTTATATTTAGTTTGTTATATTTACTCCCATTTCAACACATTTTGGTCATATCTTGGCAACTAGCTTTTTTAGTTAACTAACCAGCAACTACTAAATACACCACAAGAGAATGATGTACCAGATATATGGACAGAATCTGCTGTTGCGAATAGTCTTAATTGTTAACTAGTAACATCAAATTAATAAAGAGAAAGTACAGCAATTACCAGTTATTTCAAATCACACATTCAAGCAAAATATATCTTTAAGCAAGAGTACCAGCAAGAATGAATTTAAAGTTTTGAATATACTAGCCCGAATTCCAGTTTTGAATTTATTCTACTATATATTTAACTAAAATTTCTTAAACTTTTCACTGGCCCGAACTAATTAAATTTTCAGTGGCCAAGGGCCATCTTGTCAGTGCTAAATTTGATGACTGGAGTACCTGTTTTTTGAAATACCCGATGGCAAACTCGTCAGCAAATGTGAGGAAATGTACAATATTGTGTTTAATGTGATAATCCATATCCCTGAAATACAAATCATGTAGGCTGATAATTATTAGTATCAATGCAATATATTGTTGCTCATAATTCACAAATACTTTAAATACTCATTAATCATGACAATTTTTATGTCATGATTGTAATATTTACAACCACACCATAATAAACTGACTTTGTAGATTTTTTACGTTTATGTTTGTAAATAAAATGCTTATAAAGATCACAATTTTTGATTGTTTTTTTTATCTGATTATACACTTAGGATGTATATCTTCTTTGACATTGACACCTAAAGGTCAAATAGTGGCTTTTGAGCTTTACCTTACCAAGCCCCAATAACTATTTGAGACCTTAACAGGAATCTGAGAATAACCACTGACTATGCATATACAAGGTATCAAAATAAGTTTTCCTCGAATTTACCTCTCTGAACATATCTCGAAAAAACACCAATAAAGTATTATTAACAAATAGAAAAACAAATCTTTCCAAAACAACGTCTCAAGTTTACCACGAGGAAACTAGCAAATTGCCAGTGAAAATTGAAAAAAGTCAGTACTTTTTTTATTAAACTCGAAAAATGTTCCACATGCTGAGATATGAATATGATTTGACGAACATCTTTTTGATTTTTTTTCTTAATTTCTATTCCACTAGATCTTAAAACACATTAATACTTTTTTAATGATTAAACAAAGTTAAATCTAACTTCTTACCTTAACTTGTTCATTAGATGTAACAGCACAGAAAACAATCTCTGTAAAACCTTGTGATGGGAACATTCTAAAGCATATACCACCAATAACGTTATTATCCTTTACCAATGCCAGACACTTGTGTTTCCTGCAAGTTGGTCAAGATAAAACTAGAAATGTGTCATCATGCCACGGATGCCCCCGCATGCAGCCAAAATTTCAGATGGTGCATTAATTATTTTTTTCATTTTAAGTTCAAAGCCCTTAAAACTTTTCAATGTTAACACAAACCATTTTCATACAATGTTCAAGGCACTGAAATTATTCAGTCTTAACCTTTTAAAAATAGCATATTGCATATGTGTAGCCAAAATTATGGCTAAAAGTATGAGTGCTGAAACTGAAAGTTCAAAATTTTTCCAACATTCAAGAAAGATAAGTTTGTCCAAAATCATTGAACCACGACCAAATTCAAACTTAAACTGCTTATTCCTAAGATGTATCTATATTATTTTCAAAGTGAAAGGGACATAACTCTGCCAAAAAATCATCAAACCATGACCAAATTCCAACTTGACCTGCCCATTCCTTTGACATATCCATATGTCAAATTTAAGTTGAATACGTAACACTGTTGGGTAGATAATGAACAGAAACTGTAAATTTCATATTATTTTCTATGTGAAAGGGGCATTACTCTGCCGAAAATCATTGAACCATGACCAAATTCGAACTTGGCCTGGGCATTCCAAAAACATATCCATATGTCAAATTTGAGTTGAATGTGTTGTACCATTGGGGAGATAATAAACGGAAACTGAAAATTTCATATTACTTTCAAAGTGAAAGGGGCATAACTCTGCCAAAAATCATTGAACCATGACCAAATTTGAACTTGACCTGCGTATTCCTTTGACGCATCCATATGTCAAGTTTGAGTTGAATGTACGTGTTGTACCTTTGGGGAGATAATGAACGGAAACTGAAAATTTCATATTATTTTCAAAGTAAAAGGGGCATAACTCTGCCAAAAATCATTGAACCATGACCAAATTCGAACTTGACCTGTATTTTCTCATAACATATCCATATGTCAAATTTGAGTTGAATGTGTTGTACCGTTGGGGAGATAATGAACGGAAACTGAAAATTTCATATTATTTTCAAAGTAAAAGGGGCATAACTCTGCCAAAAATCATCGAACCATGACCAAATTCGAACTTGACCTGTATTTTCTCATGACATATCCATATGTCAAGTTTGAGTTGAATGTGTTGTACCGTTGGGGAGATAATAAACGGAAACTGAAATTTCATATTATTTTCAAAGTAAAAGGGGCATAACTCTGCCAAAAATCATCGAACCATGACCAAATTCGAACTTGACCTGTATTTTTTCATGACATATCCATATGTCAAATTTGAGTTGAATGTGTGCAACCATTACTAAGATAATGAACGGAAACTGAAAATTTCATATTATTTTCAAAGTAAAAGGGGCATAACTCTGCCAAAAATCATCGAACCATGACCAAATTGGAACTTGGCCTGTATTTTCTCATGACATATCCATATGTCAAATTTGAGTTGAATGTGTGCAACCGTTCTTAAGATAATGAACGGAAACTGATGATGACAGAATGACGGAAGGATGGAAGGACGGAAGGACGGAATGACGGAACAGGGTAACACTATATGCCCCGGCCATTACATGGCGGGGGCATAATAAAACATAATAATGGTTGATAATGTTGTTGTGGCAAAATTAAGTACAAACAAAACTTATCTGTACAAAGAGTTAACTCTGTGGGATTCATTTAAGTGATATTAATAGTGGCTGAATGTGTAAAATTAAAAATTAGTTCATATATTGGCATATAAGTTTTCAATTTTACAAAAAATCCTATAAATATCCTTGGGCAAGTATGGGTAATGCTCAATGTATAAAAGTAGTTGGGCAGTTTTCAAAGGCTGTTTTTACCTTTTCCCTTAAACCATTTCTATTATCAAATATTGGTTAATCACCATTATGAAAGTCATTCTTTTCATCATATCCATATGAAAATGTCATAATATTTGTCTAGAGGAGTCAGGCGATGTTAATGTATGTAATATATCATTTTCCACCCTTACATCACTGGCTATTTTTATGGTCTACATGTATATCACATTGCAGATTGTGTTACATCGCATGTATAAAATTATAGATACCATAAAAACATCAAGAATAGTCCAAAAAATCTGTAAAACAATCTATGAAGAATACAGATATGAATATGCCTCATTGGTTTTTTTTTATTTTAATTTTTTATTTACATGCTGCCATGTTGTTTTTCAAATACATGTATACAATATCAATGTTATCTTAGCAAACCTTTTTGCTGTTGAATTGACATCAATTCAAGCTTTTAACACTCAAGTCTTAAAAATACTACAACAAAGGATGTGCATGAAAAAATTTATCATTTTTTATCTTATATATTAGAATTAAGAGAATTCCTCTGAAAAAAAAACAAACAACAAAACATATAACATGCCTAAAACTGTACGCAGTGAATGAATCTAAGCATGGGACCAGTGCAGACAAGATTAAATCTGTTCCATTTTATCATGGCCTGCACTGAAAAAAGATGAATAGTTTTGTCCACACTGAAATATGGATAAGTCCCTTTTCAACATTTTACAAGGTAAGGAGGGTTAAAGCTGCACACCTACAGATGAGCAAAAAATATTTCAAGAAAATTCAATCTTTAGAAAAATGTATGAAAATCTATAGAAAAGTTAACAGATTCAATATAAAGTTAATTTTTTACATGTTATGTGTGATTAATGACTGATTTTGCCGTATTATTCACTATAATTCTACTGCGTTATTAACGCAGTAAGTGGTATCTATGTATATTTTGACTTTTTTTTGGTAATAAACATGGATTGTAAGTGCCATTTGAATGTGTAAATTACTATCTTTGTTCACTTCACAACATTTTACTTTTAAATACATTTTTAAAATATTCATGAAAATTAGCATGAATCTGGAGGCATACTGCTTTAAAGTCACATTAAGCACGAAGATGTTATAATTTTATTTTTTCAACTTACAGATCAAATACTAGTCTTGTGATGTATTCTTTTGGCATCCTCGGAAGCTGATGTGAGAAGACATTCTGCATCCCTGTAATAAATTATCTCACTTATAAAATCATATGGAAAACAACTTAAAATGGAACTTAAAGGCCAATTAAGCCTATAAAATGTTATTATTTTCATTCATTAAAAACTTTTTATGTTGGTGCTATGTTACAGTTTACAAAAAGTTGCTCATTGGCAATATAGCTCAACTATCTTTTTTTTGTATTTTGGCATTTAGTGCAGATATAGTGATTAAGTATTTTGCAGGCAGTCAAAATACCACTTTGTGTACATTCTACTACTTTTATGATAAGTTATTTCACATTCAGCACTATTTTCTTCAGATGCTCAGCATCTTATATGTTCTTTATCTACATGTAGTATTACAACATTATAAAACACAGAATGAAAAAAAAAAGTTATTTCTGAGGCATAATGTGCCTAAAAAATTAACTA